AAAATTTGGTTTTGGATACCAAATTATGAATAATACTGTCCTGACTGGATACTAAAAAATTTCCTTTGATGGGCTCCTGAAAGTTTTTGAATATTATCAGTTTACCACCAGTCTTTCCTCAATGAGGACTAGCATATAGAAGTTTGTTGAAGGATTATGTGGATTAATTGTTTATTTGTTGTTGACTGTGGAGTCTCCTCAGTTGTTATTGTAATTTGTAACAGTGAGTGTTATGGAAACTTATTTGGATGGGATATCCCCTTTGGATACTGAGAAAAAATATAAATTTCAGACCCTGATGTAAATGGTGCTTATCTGATTGTTCATGTTACAAACTGTAATTATATTTAGTAGCTATATTCAGTATTCTCAGGGGGCATATAAAGGCTATAAATAAAGCCCTGGAGTCATGTTTGTGCTTTTAACCCCTTGGAGTTCTCCTTTAATGTCTGTATATATATATTACCATATAACCCAATAAATCTGTTAAAAAAAAGAAAGATTCGTTGATGTAAATCAAAATTTCATCAGTGTTTCCTGGGCATTCTGATGAGCTCTGATATAGAGCGAAACAAGCATATATTTAGCAATTGTCCTCCGTCTTGAAGAGACATGATGAAGTAATCTGATCACCAGAATTGTTGAAGCTAATATTAGATCATTCAGTGTCACAAGAATATCATCATTTAATGTCAATATGAGAGTAATATCAATGAATTCATACTTCCAGTTCATAATTTCAAAACATACATTTTTATAACACAAAAAAGTTGAATATAATCTTAGCGTCTCGTACTCTCGTCACTGTCAATCTATTGAACTCTTCTGTTGTTTATATTAAAACAGCATCCAAAATTATCTCCATAGCGCGCACGAGCTTGAACAAAAGCTGTTTATCCAGCTTTTGCACGGTCAAAAATTTCGCACTTGGCTTTGGCACGAAGACAGGAACTGCAACCACATTCTCAATCACACTTGTTTCGAATTTCGTCAAGCGAAAAGCTTTCCCCAAGTGCTTCTGTCATAATGACAACAACAACTCTGGCAACATGTTTCGAGGGATTGATACCACATGAACTATTTTCGTGATTAGACACAAACTCCAAAGGTAAACACTAAACACAAATTATTCGAACTCACACCTTCGGGATTTCGGTTCGCCGCCCCAGCTGTTGTATATAGCAAGTCACACAAGGTTCAAAGCGGCCTGTTTATTCACAATGTTTACAGTTAAACAGTTACAGTATAAGATTGTGTTATTGTGTACAAAAATTTCCAGTGTAGAAATGTACAATAAATGCAGCGAAGTATTGTAAAACATTGCACTCCTCGGTCACAAATTATGTGGAATGTTACTTTGAACTCGTCATATACTTCATCTTATATAATTAATGTGGATCAAAACAAAAAACGTAAACAAAGTCCAGCGCATGCGCAGATGCGACTTTAACCTACCTTTAAGATATATGAGGTAATGAACGTATTAATACATTTGTGTACATAATGTAGATAAATATGAACCTATATATACCTGTCTGATATAAAGTAGCTATATACATGCAGAGACCCAATATTTCGAACAGCAAAGGGAAAAAGAAAGGGTTTGACATATTAATGGTTTCGAGTAGACTTGGATAGAATTTTGAACGGATTTTATTCGGGTTTTATACAGTGTAAAGGTACCGGCAAACATGCAAGTAGGAGGACAGACTTAAGGCGGGTCAAAAGTCTCCACTAAGAGAGTTGAAGAACAACACTTTGGGAGTCGTTTTAGGTCTTTTGAGGGGTCTTGTTTTGACTCTATTGAATATACATATATATATATGTATATATATATATATATGTATATATATATATATATATATATATATATATATATATATATATATATATATATATATATAATATTATATATATACATCATACGCATGTACCCTTTAAACGTTAACTTGGCTCCAGAAAATTTCAACAAATTCAAAGGGCAGGTTCGGAGCAAGTAGCCGAACCAGTGACAGTGTCAAATAAAGAAATAATATAAAGTTAAATTAACGTGGTGGTGGCTTATTTATAATGACCCATTGAATCATTGATACGACTTTTATATATATTATGAAATATACAGGGTGTCTAAAAAACGTGACACTTTAGAAATCACCCTTTTGTTGTAAACACCCAAACTTCCTCACCTCTGGGAGTTTAGAATGCATTGTAATCGTACGAGCATATTAAAACTGCATATTAAATTGTACATGAAAATTCTAATTGAAAGTTAAAACGACTTAGAAATTAGTCCCGTCAGAATGATTAAAAATGGTTCAACTGACTACAGAGCAAGGAGTATTTAATTAAATTTCAATTCCAGGTATATAATAACTCACTTTTAACAAATTAAGGCTGGCGCACACGAAAGCTATATCTGCATGCTGAGCAAAAATTCACTAGTGAGTAGTGACGACCATTGGCGTAAGCTAGTTCCCCCAGTTTTAACATAATGTCCAGCCAGGCTTTAGCAAAATGTTATTCGTGACTGTAGGCGTATAAGGGAAAACTCGCTTGTGCGGTGCACTTAAGGTGATTTCTAAAGAGTCATCTTTTTAGGCACCCTTTATTGATAAGCACTTATTACTTAAGCTGAACTGCATTCTCTATTATATATTCCGTTTTGCGTCCTTGACGCTTCAAAATAAAAAACTTACGTAAATTATTTTTCCTAATAAAAACGAATTCAGTCTATAAGGTTCGAGATAGTGTGGAGTTTGGTATAAGGTAAGTGAATTCACACTATTACTCTTAATATTGACTATATGTTAGTTAGAGATAATATCTTTTATAGAAAAAATGTTAAATAAGGCTCGCCTTAATGTCTATTCTGAAGAGAATAAATGATATGGTTGCTTGGCAAAATATTTCTGGCATGTGGTTTCGTTTCTCTTTCTATAGAATTTGTTTAGCATCTCAGTCGCTGTGAATTATGTAATGACTTTGCAAGTGCATGCCAGTATTGAGGTCATGCATGCACTAATCATGCTGTTAAGACCTACATAATAATTATAATTTATTCATTAAATGCACGTTATAGTAAGTGAAAGAGGAGAAGTGATTTCTTTTCCGCAACACTAAAGATACCTTGGGGAAATAAGGCTCTGCCATTTTTGTGTCTGAATTCTGTTGAGCATGCTCTTTTGGTCAAAACCAGTAGAATGAATATCTTTTTCTTGAAGCCAAATCTGACCAAGGACTAGCGTGTTTATGCCTCGCGATTCTCTCGCAAGATAAGTTCAGGGAGCGAGCACGCTGTTTTAATAAGAAAAAGACTAAAAGTAAAGTATACTAGGAAGTTTTACCTGAATAAATGTATTGATAGAAAGTTTTCAGCGGTTTCCAAGAATACATATTCATGTTGACGGATTGACCGTACTCTTCGCATGCGTGAAAAGACCAATTTTTTTCAAGTTTGGTACATTCATTACACTGGTCAAAACAACAGGAGGCCCAATAGTTAGTGGTAATAGGCATAAAAATGACTAAAATAGTTTAAAATTCAATAAAATTTCATTGTGTTACCGTCAAAATGTTCTACCAACTGTTTTTGTAGCCATATAGGTGTTAATTTAAACCATGCAATGCTCAATCTCTGATTCGCAGTGGCGTAGTGACGTATAAGTCTTTATAGATATGGATCCCGGAAAATATCTCACTGTGTATTTTTCAGTATCTCACTCTCTACTATATAATGAAAAGACTTATACGTCACTACGCCATTGCGAATCGGAGATTGAGCATCGCATGGTTTAAACTAACACCTATATGGCTACAAAAACAGTTGGTAGAATATATTCACGGTAACACAATGAAATTTTATTGAATTTTTTATGCCTATTATACCACTAACTATGGGCCTCCTATGGTCAAAACAAGTCAAAACAGAATCACTTGTATTTTTGTAATGTATTTTGGGCGCGTGCACTGCACGTGCTGTACAATTACAGCAATAACAACACAAAAATGTGAAATGTACTAGTGAAGATATTGAATTTATGAAAACTGAATGTGAAAGCTCACGCGAGTTTGTTTACTTTTTCGATCAATCATGCAGATTCGCTATAGGATCGCATTTTGCCTCCAGCATCGTCCCACGAAATTTATCGGCAAATTAGCAGAAGCCGGTTTTGCACATTTTTTCTACATTTGTATTTGTTTTTTACAATAACTTTGTCACAGTAATGTTGTTCGAGTATAAAAGTTTTCTCTGTTATGATTTTTTTGAAGTTTTCATGTTGTTATGACATAACATTTTGGTTGTAAAAAGTCATGTGATCGATATCTTCACTACGATTTTGGACTTCTCAGCAAAGCTATATCGGGTATATATCATCCTGACTCAGTGCTAATTATCCGTGATATAGGCTACTCCGGCGCAGTTCTATTCACTGCTGCGTTCTGCTTACCACATTTATTTATTATATTCGATTAAACCAATGCACTACACTCGCTTGCATTAGTCGATTCACCAATGGCACTATATATAGTCTAGTTTCGCCCGCGCCTCATTTCCGCTATCTTGGCATCTGCATGTAGGTACAATTACGTACGCTGATTCGAAGAATTTCGCCGTTGTGGGATCAGGCCTTTATATGACATATTTTTAATCGGAGATTAAAATTGCAGTAACATTGCGCTGTAATCGTCGATCCCCTGTGGTAAGGAGAAGGGCTATGTAATGGGTTGACCGCCTGGGATTTCAGTGAGAAATAGAATTTTACAACAATCTTCTCTACATTTCAGACAATTTTAGGCCGAGATACACAATGGTTCTTACAATTGATGAGGTTTTTGTCAAGATTGGTGTGTTTCATCAGTATCAATGGTACCTATTGACCATCGTGGGCTATACAGTGTTATCACTTTCTTCATTTCCTATCATGATAGTGACGTTTATTACAGCAGAACCAAAGTGGAAATGTGTTGATGGGTATATGAATAATACCGTATGTAGATTTAACAAATCAATATCATTAACCAGTGATAATTACAAAGCAAGATGTAAAATGCCGAGAGAAGCTTGGACGTTTGTAGATGACTTTACATCAGCTGTTACCGAGGTAAGCAATGTGTAAAATTTACCACATACTGTAGTATGCAGGTTGTGTAAAAAACAGAGTCCTCGATTCAAACGTAAATTGCAAAATGAATTTTACAGCAAACCATTCATGCTTGGATTCAAATTCAGCTTTTTCATTGCTGAAGGTTGAAAATTACTTTAGCTTTAAAATAAATTCCTGTGAATTGCGTTTTCGCAATTATATATAAGCATAAAGAGAGAGAATCTTAAGGGCTGTTCATATGGGCCAGCCCAAAATTTTTTTCCTGATTATAAAAATCGTTTGAATGAATTTTATACTGTTACTGGAATCAAACGAAGCTAATTCAACTTTGAACACAGGGAGTCCAACTAAGAGCTGTGTTATGAATATGAATAAAACATACTAGAAAATACATGCATGCAGAAACCCTCGCCTTGCTGACAAAACCATTTTATTTTCCGAACGTGAAGTATTTTAAGTAGTTGTCATGGTAACACGATAATTTTTTAAGAATATTTTTACAAATGAAAAATCCCCTATAAATATCACTTTTAATTACAAAATTATCAATTTCCTAAACATATATATTTTAGGTATGTTATTATACGTAATATAAGCTTGAATTTAAGGTAAAATTCAACCACAAACGCTTCGCAAAACGTTTTAAAATGTTCTTTTACTATAGAACAAAACTGCTTTTATCGATAAACTTTGAGTTCGAAATAAAATGATTCCAAATTCTCCCATGCAAATAACTTTGCTTAGTATAATAAAAAGTGTAATCAATAAAGAAACACTGAAATAATACGCTGTCTTGTTTCATATTTTATATACGCAACGATCGGCTTTTAAAGTAATTACAGTCGAGATTACAGTATATTAAAAGCAAACAATGCATCAATATTTAAAACAAACTTACCTTCGTTAACGTCGGCACCTTTACTTCCTTCTTTTAGCAATCCTCTTGCCTTTATTTCATCAAAAATCCTTTGCAATTTACAAAATCTTGCAAAATGAAATATATTTGCAAGAAATCATCA